CACATCACAGTCTATAGTCTGCCACTGCCACGGTGGCAGATATGCTACAGGAGCCATTAAACTATGTTCAAGTGAGACTCCAGTTTCCTCAGCTAGACTTTTCAGGCGAACTGAGAAGGGCTGCCTCATTGAAGGCCTGTTTTGAAACAGAATGGAGCTCGACAAATCAATAATAGTGGAGTATGAGGGGTGCTTCTTATCTGCTTTCACCTTAAGGAAATAAACAAAGGACATGTAAGTTCTCTGCAGATGAAGCGACCACTCATTCGACTCAACATAAAGGCTTTCTACGGGGCTGGTGCGAAAAGCACCCGTAGAAAGGCGGATGCCCAAATGGTGCACGGGGTCCAGCATCTTCAAAGCACTTTGTGTTGCAGACTGATAAACAATGGCCCCATAATCTAAGCGGGTGCGAATGAGGCTTCGATACAGATTCATGAGACATTGCCTGTCACTACCCCACGTAGTACGTGACAACACTTTTAAAACATTCATGGCTTTTAAACATTTTGTTTTTAGATACTTGATGTGCGGTACGAAGGTCAACTTGTTGTCCAAGATTAATCCTAAGAATTTATGCTCCACATTGACAGACAGACGTTGACCGTTCAGTTCAATGTCAGGTTCTGAGTGCATGCCTCTCTTTCGGGAGAACAAGACACACGTGCTCTTTAGTGGGTTCAGTCGGAATCCGTTTTCCTCTGCCCATTTGGAGACCTTGTTTAAACCTAACTGAACCTGTCGCTCACACATGGCCAAGTTGCATGACTTGAAGCCAAGCTGAACGTCGTCGACATATGTACAATGGAACATATTGCGGGGAATGGACAAGTGCAAAGAATTCATTTTAATAATAAAAAGTGTGCAACTAAGCACACCACCTTGTGGCACGCCTGTTTCCTGGACAAATGTTTGGGAGAGCACACTGCCCAGACGGACACGGAATGTCCGGTTTGACAGGTAACTTTCGATTATATGAAACATTCTTCCGCGCACACCAAGGTGGGACAGGTCTCTTAGAATTCCGTAACGCCATGTAGTATCATAAGCCTTTTCGATATCGAGGAACACAGAGAGGAAATATTGTTTATGGACGAACGCGTCTCTGATCTGTGCCTCGATACGAATAAGGTGGTCTGTGGTGGATCTACTTTCTCGAAACCCGCACTGAAATGGGTCGAGCAAATTATTTGTTTCAAGAAAATGTACAAGTCGGCAGTTTATCATTTTTTCGAAGACTTTGCACAAGCAGCTTGTAAGTGCTATAGGCCTATAACTCGAGGGTAAAGAAGGGTCCTTGCCCTCTTTCAAAATGGGAATAACAATAGCCTCTTTCCAGGAGGTAGGAATAGTGCCAGAAGACCAAATAGCATTGTACAAACAAAGTAAGGTTTTTCGGGTTTCGTTTGGTAGGTTTTTTAACATTTCATACATCACACGGTCAGAACCTGGGGCAGAAGTACTGCAGGAGTTTAGAGATGTTTGGAGCTCAGCTAGATTGAAAGCTTGGTTATAGGCCTCGTATCTAGTGGATTTGTGTTCGAGTTTCTGCTTTTCTATTCTTGTTCTGTATTTTTGGAAAGTGTCAGTATAGTGGGACGAGCTGGATACCTGTTCGAAGTGTGCACCGAGGAAGTTTGCCTGATCTTCCAAGGTATCACCCTGAGTGTTTACGAGTGGAAGTGTGTATACTTGTTTTCCTGCTATCCTACCGACCATGTTCCAGACTTTAGCCTCCTGTGTGTATGAATTAACCCCTGATAAAAACTTCTGCCAGCTTTCTCTTCTGGCCTGCCGACGCGTTCTCCTGCCTTGAGACTTTATTTTCTTGAAGGTTTCAAGATTTTCGGCTGTCGGTGAGTTCCGAAGCAGCCTCCAAGCTCTGTTTTGCTGTTTGCGCGCGTTTCGGCATTCAGAATTCCACCATGGCACACATCGTTTTCCAAGGTGTCCATTTGTTTGTGGGATGCATTTTGTTGCAGCATCAATCAAAAACGTTGTGAAGTAGTTCACAGCAACATCAATGTTCAAAGTACAGATGTCATTCCAACCTAGACAAGCGATAGTATGAAACTGTTCCCAGTCGGCTCCGTTTATGAGCCACTTGGGAACGCGTGGTGGACACTCAGTTACTGTCGTTGTGCTCAAAACTACGGGGAAGTGGTCACTTCCGTACAGATTACTGACGACTTTCCACTGGAGTAGAGGCACAAGAGATGGAGATACTATGCTCAGGTCTATGGAGGAGTAGGTGTTATTAGCGAGGTTATAATAGGTTGGTTCTTTTCGATTTAGGAGACACGCGCTCGACGAGAGAAGGAACTGTTCGATCAGTCGACCTCGCGCGTCATACCGAGAGTCACCCCATAACCTGCTATGCGCATTAAAGTCTCCAAGGAGAACATAAGGCTCCGGAAGTTCATCAATTAGAGAGTGTAAATCGCGTTTTTGGAGCTGATAGCTAGGAGGAATGTAAATACTGCAGATTGTGATCAGTTTATCAAAAAGAACCGCTCGAACAGCCACTGCCTCAAGGGGTGTTTGGAGTTGTAAGTGTGTGCATGCTATTCCTTGATTCACTATGATGGCAACACCTCCGGATGATGTCATAGCATCAACACGGTCTTTTCGGAAAATAACATATTTACGAAGAAAATTTGTGTGTTTTAAATTAAGGTGTGTTTCTTTTACACACAGCACTTTTGGCGAGTGTTCATGTAAGAGTTCTTGGATGTCGTCAAGGTTTCTGAGAAGGCCCCTGACGTTCCATTGTATAATTTGAGTGTTCATGGTGAATGTGAAATAGTGCTGTGTGTACGAAAAGCGAGTGGCTGCTTAGACGGGGAGTTTGAGTTCACTTAACAGGGCCATCACCAGGCCCTGTTATTTGCTTTTTTGTTTTCTTGGCGCGCTCCAAGGAGCCATGCCGCTCTTTCGGCACCAAGGGTGCCGATGTATCCATTGCCTCCTCGGAGGCACTGGATGCCCGCACATGCGGGCTGTTAGTTCGAATTTTGGGCCTCGCCTGGTGAGGGGAGGCCTTGAGACCCGAAGACTCTGGAGTCTCCGGTCTCTGTTTGGGAGTAGGCGGTGTAGCCTGGGCTACAGCCGCCTTGGGGGCAGGTGCCACAGCCGACGGCTCGCTCTGCGCAGGCCGAAGGGGTGGCGAGGGCTGGTGCGGCGTTGCCCCCTGACGCGCCGCATCAGCATATGTTGCGCCGTAAAATGGCGACACTCTTCGTCTTGCTTCTTTGAATGTGATGTTTTCTTTGACTTTAAGAGTGATGATTTCTTTTTCTTTCTTCCAGTTAGGACACGAACGCGAATACGCGGCGTGTTCCCCGTCACAATTCACGCAGTGAGGCGTGGTAACACAGTTATCAGATGGGTGGCCGCGGCCACCACATCTTGCACAAGTTTCCTGACCCCGGCAGTTCTGCGAACCATGACCAAATCGTTGACATTTATAACACCGTCTCGGATTGGGAATGTAGGGACGGACAGAGAGTTTGATGTAGCCTGTGTCTATAGATGAAGGCAGTGTGCTAGATGCAAAAGTGAGTATTATATGTTTGGTAGGTATTTCTTTGTTGTCGCGTCTGATGACGATTCGTTTCACATCCGTGACATTTTGCTCTTTCCACCCTTCAAGCAGTTCCTGTTCAGACATTCCAAGAAGGTCTGCTTCTGAAACAACTCCGCATGAGGTGTTCATTGATCTATGAGGTGAAACAGATACTGGGATATTTCCAAATGCTACGAGACTGCTAAAGTTTTTCATAGTGGTGTTTTTCAGGCAGCTCAAGGAGAAGGTCTCCGCTAGCCATCTTCGTAACCTTGTATCCTGGGCCAAAGACCTCTGTCAGAGATTTAGCAACAAGAAATGGAGATATTGCTCTGGCTTGTTTTGTTGGGTTTTTGCTGTGCACAACATGGAATTTGGGAAAGCATTGTCTGGGTTGGCTGAAAATTGATATGTCATCGGTGCGTCCCCTCTTAGGCGGGAGACGATCTAGGAGACGGGGAAATGCAGGTGTTCCCATAGTAGTGTACTTTTTGTTCGGCAGCAATGGCGACCACCCACCATGGAGTCCAACCAGGGGACGCTGAAGCACTTAATAGCATAAGGCTGCAGACGCCAGCCATACATTGCCACTATAACCAAATATAACTACTCGAGGTTGAGTAATTACACAAGGTTAACCCTTGCCGCCAGGAAAAATCGGAAGTAAATGGAAGAGAGAAGAAGACAGGATAGATTTAAAGACGAGAAAAGACTAAGATGTAGGAAGAGAGAGATAGGAAAAGGCGACTGCCGATTTCCCCTGGGTGGGTCAGCCCAGGGGTGCCGTCTACGTGAAGCCGGGGCCAAAGGGGTGTGTTGCCTCTGCCGGGGGGCCTTCAAGGTCCAATCACCCAGCGTCGGCTCAACCCCCAGGATCCCCTTTTCCCCGGACACGGCAAAGCCACGCACGGCTAGGCGTGGGAGGGAGTAGAAACTCCCCCGTTAGCTCGGGTCCGTGGTGTCGCTACACACCAAACGCCTACTTGCGCAGGCGCCCCTGCGGGCAAAAAAGATGTGGGAAGAGAAAGTACTTAATCGGAAACGGCATGGCCGGTTTCCCTTGGGTGGGTAAGCCTAGGGGTGCCGTCTACAGGAAGCCGGGGCCAAAGGGGTGTGTTGCGTCTGTCGGGCGCCTTAAGGGTCCAATCACCCAGCGTCGGCTCAACCCCCAGGATCCTCTTTTCCCTGAACACGGCTTAGCCTCGCACGGCTAGGCGTAGGGGAGGTCGAAACCCCCCGTTAGATCGGGTGCGTGGTGTCGCTACACACTAACTCATCCCCCGTAGGGACGCCTGCTTGCGCAGACGCCCCTACGGGGGATGATTATGCTTAGACAAGGAGTAAACTTGCAACTAAAACTGATCTGTGCTTCCACTTATGCTAAAATCATTACAAACATTGCCTCAAATTAATAAATATTTTGTGTTACACTTACCAAAAATTATAGCACGAGAATTCTTCAGTTGTGGAAGCTCGAAAAGTGAGTAGAGCACAGTCTGGTTCTTGCTGTTGAGTTGGTCAATTTCATCCATCACGATTATCCTGCAGCCAGTCAGCAAAAACAAAAAGCAAAAATAAACAACACTTCCCACTGCAGTGTTTTGTGAACCAACATTGGTTGGTTCACACTTGCAGACACTAATGCCTTCAAGTATATAGTCGATCGCATTGTGCTTTTTAACACTTTCCGTACCTTCAAAAAAGAAATTGTACTGAATTCTGTAAACTTTTTTTTTGCGTTTTTTTTTTTCTTCAATTTTTAAGCAGTAACATCCTTTCAATTCAATGGGGTTCCTATACTTCACTGATTGCGAAAAAAGATAAACTGAAGATGGCTTCACTGCATGGCAGTACAATAAAAGCTCAGACACAAGTGTCAACATTGACAAGCGTGGTCATCTAGTGTCAAAAAACACAGACAAGTATAGGTGTCATCGGTTACATGTGGGACCAATTTTCGTTGATGGCGAGTATAGTCCTCATTGGTCATTTTGGTAGAAAATCTCATGACTATACTTGTCAATGGAAGGGTAAGGATTCATAAAGTAAAGCATAACAGTTTACATGGAACAGATCTTTCCACAAAGTATCTTCACAACCACATACAAGTAATCTTCATAAACATTATTACCTTATAAGTCATGAATGTGTACAGTGGAGTCCTGGAAAGCTAAGTCCTTGCACCAATATTATTTTGTTCACTTATTAATCGCTTAACATTGTAATTAAGTTCAAGCTAAATCACAACTTAGCTTGAACTTAGCGCAAGTGACACTTGCATAGAGGCTAAAGCTGACAACATTTGCGATTCATAGACTAAAAGCCTAAACACACTAGCAAAAAAATGTGCACGCATCTCTGCCACCACAGAAACGCTGCTGTGGCGGTGCGGCCAGACCCTCTGGCAGTGAGCTGCTGCGACATTCACGTGACAGAGTCTCACCTTCTGTTGAGTTTTCATGCGGTGTCACGGATTACGGGTGTGGACCTAACAATGGACTCTGTCAGACTCGAAAGATGAACCAACATTTATCCAAGTAAACAAGCGGCTTTTAAAATATATACAAATGTTCAACAAACAATTCCCCTACAAAGTAACTAGAACTGTACCCACAATGCACCAATAACCCAAACATCCTAACTAAAGTCTTAAACCTTGCCTTCTGCTGTCTTGGTCCGGCCAACATGATTCCGTTAACATGGTAAGCTTGTTGCCCAAGTCCGGTTCGTCACCGATTCCAACGTCCACCCCACAGCTCGACGTGTCCGTCACCGCCTGTGCATGCAAGCTGGCGTTTCGGGCAACTGGTACTGTTGACAACTTCACCCGGCTTGGCATTACCTTGTAGACGTAGAACTCCGGGGATTGCCTTGGGTGGCTCACTTCCAAAAGGGAGCTTGCGCTGGCAACAGTCTTGCTCGTTAGGCGCGCCTGCTGCGTCTCCGAGGAGCTTCCTTTCGATTGCCATCGATGTCGCCGGCCACCTTGAGACGTCTGCCTTTCAGGCAGCTGACTCGAACACCCGTTGCTTTTGTCGCCGGTGCGTGCCGCTGATGCGACCTTCCGCCACAGAGTTCCCCGAGACAATGCCAGCTCACGCCCTTCGCATCCTTCTATTCGATTCGGTGCTTGTGCCTCGAGTTTTGAACGTTCCGAGCACACGCCTGTGCTACTTCGAACGCTGGTCATCTTCGTCGTCTTTCAATCTCGCGGCTGTTGCTCATGACATACGCCCCCATTTCAAACAGTTTTTTTTAATCAAAAACTGCTTCTCTGTCGTTAGCGCAACCGTGTGACCTTTTCCCTTCAAATGTTGAGACTTGTAAATGCTTACGCTGCCTTTATTCTTGCACAGTTGACGGAACACCACCATGAACTTCCTTGACACACTGCACGTGCCATACTTTCACATCGTTCACCATTGAATTTTATTGCTACACCCACCCAATTCACCAATACAGCACTTTTCACTTCCCTCAAATGATCCTTTATTCCAATGCCCGTAAAAAAATTTAACACTACAAACCCTCCTACTCTTGACGTTACACGCGTTTCTCAACTTTCTTTCGAGTCTCTTTACTGAGTGCCGTAGCGATTGCCCATCGTCTTTATTCTTGTTCTTTGTAATCATGGAACGCCTCATCCACATGACTTTTCTTGGGTGCGTTCCAACTGCGCGTCTACTGCTAAGCAATTGCGTAAAATTCTTTTTGTCTGCATATTCATGACCTAATAGCAATGTTTTATCAACCCTCTTCTTTTTCTTTCATTTGATATGGATAGCAGTGCGACCTTCATCCCAGCCCACTTACCATCTCAAACATTCGTAAGGCTATCGTGGATGTTCTATGCACCTTTCTACAGAGCTGACCTTCTGTGAGGAGCTGTACGATATCTCCCTCTTTCGCGACTGGCTCATTCGAAAGAGTTGTCTTTGCACCCTGATCAGCATCTGCACAACGTTCGCTACTCGCTGAATCACTATAGTCTGTCGCATCCACGGCCGCTTCCTTTTTCTCGCTAATTACTTTACTGTTTTCAGTACCATCAAGACTTTTATCACTACTGTATAGACCGGATTATAGGGGGAGTGGGCATACAGGTCAATCCCCCAAGTTCAGGTAACCAAAAAAAAAAAAAGGAAAACAATCCAAAATACTTGAACGACATTTATTTGCGAATTGGGCAATCGTCGGAGTTCCCCTCAACCACCATCGCAACTGTTCCTATTCGTGAGTCGAAGCACCACTGTCTTCTGAAGACGAGAGTTTGTCGCTGGTCTTCCACAGTACGTTGTCTTCTGTACCATACAGCGAGTTTCTGACGGAACATTTCTTAAAAGCATTTTTTACCATGGAATCTGGCAAGGAACGCTAGGCGGAAAGCACCCAGCCACAAAACAGTCGCAAGCGGAGGCCTCTGTAGGCGGCCTGTCGGTGTCTTTGATTTGTCGCCTGACATCCACTTTTGGTACTCCAGCAGCACACGGTCCTTGAACGGCTTGTTTAGCACAATGTTGATTGGTTGGAGGGTGGACGTCATACCACCTGGTATCACGGCGAGGTTCGTTTTTCCATCGCCCAGTGCGCGCGTCACAGCGTCAGTTAAGTGACCACAAAACGCACCTAACACCAGCATGCTGCAAAGACGCAGCAGTGCACCTGGCTGACAGTTCCAGACTACTCGTATCCATTCGAGCATCATGGCCTCGTCCATGTATCCCTTTTTGTTTACGCGAACGACAACACTGGGCAGGAACACTTCCTTCGGCATTGTCTTATGTTTGAAAGTGATGAAGGACGGAAGCTTTCTACCATCTGCCATGCACGCCAGCATGACGATGAGGCGCGAGTGCTCGTTGCCAATGGACAACAGCTTCATATCCTTGGCGTCACGCTGCATGATCATGGTAGATGAAGGCATGTCAAGCCACACGGTGGTCTCATCGGCATTGTCAATCTGCCCCATCATGTAGTTGTTCTGCTCCCGAAGCCAGATCACGAAGCCCTGAAAGTTTATAAGCTTGTCCTCGAACTCGTCTGCAAACTTCTGACAGATGGATGTGCGCCATCTGAAAGAAAATCCTTTGCGTCTCAGGAACCGACAGACCCAAGAGTTTGGTGCACGAAACTCTTCTCTTGTGAGCCCAGCTTCTCGAGCGAGTTTCACAGCTTTCTTGTGAATGATATCCACAGTCACTGGCAGCAAGCACGCATGAACTTCCCACACAAAGTTCCCTAGTGTATTCTCCAGCTGCGGATGAACTGCACTTCGCCCACGAAATGACATTTTTTGAAGAATGCACATCTGCAGCTCCCCTTTCTGCGCCCTCCAATAGTGCACACTTTTTTCTGATACACCAAAGCAGCGCGGAGCAGTCATATTCCCATTCGCTTTTGCGAACTCTGCAACCTCTAGTTTAATCGCAGCTGAGTACTGCCTTCTCGTACGCTACTCATATTCTGTGAACGAAAAAAAAGACCATTAAAAATGAAACACAATGTCAAGCGGAGCAAGACATTAGAACGAATCGGAGGCAAATCACGAAAACACAAAACAAAACAGACAAGAGAGAAAAAAAAACAACCTGCTATTGGATTTGAATGCGAATATGGCAGTGTCCAGCTTCTCATGCACATGCAAGCCACATGTTGCCAGACAGCGGTGCACTGTCAGCTAGACACCGCTATATAAGACGAGAGGCGACTTTAGCTCGTTTTATTGAAAATATCTCGACTTATGTTCTGGTTTATACGGTAGTTTCATCTTCAACCTTCTCCCAAAAAAAATGATGATCTGAAACTCCTATTAAATCCTCCTTTGTCCCTTTTCCTTCTAATCCTAACGTCCTCTGCAGTGCACCAAAATCAATTTATGCTTCCTGTTTTATATCTCCAGCGTGTGCTTTACATGCTTCATCACATTTGCTCTGAAGTTTAGCTCCGAGTTTTATTTGCACTAGCTCCCTTTCTTTTCTATCACGCTGCGACTCCGTTTCAAGAAACTGCAGTGCCTCTTACATTTAGTACCCTCGATCTCTGGCTAAGCTCAGAATCTTGACAAAGTCCATCATCTATACCTCCGAAATCCGTGATGGGCAGGAAGTAGAATGGTGGCAGGCTCGCCAATTGTCATGAATTAACGTGTGCAGCCTCAATGATGGACTTAGACTCGAAAGATGAACGAACATACATAAAAAAAACAAGCGGCACTCTAAAATATATAAAAATGTACAACAAACAATATAACTGCAAATTAGCTAGAACTTTGCCCATAACGACCTAACTAAAGTCTTAAATCTCGCCTACTGCTGTCTCGGTCTGGCCTACGTGATGCCGCTGACTTGGTAAGCTCATTGCCCAAGTCCGGTCGGTCGTTGATCCCGATGTCCACTCTGCAGCTTGACAAGTTCGTTGTCGCCTGTGCGTGAAGGCCGGCGTTTCGGGCTACTGGTAATTTCGATGACTTCACGCGGCGCGGCGTTCTCTTGGTAACGTGGCACTCCGGGGATCTCCTTAGGGAGCTCGCTTCCGAAAGGAGGTTTGCACCAGGAACGCTCGTTTTCCCTGGGCATAGCTGCCTCGTCTCGGAGGAGCTTCCTATTGAGTGCCGTCGATGTCGCTGGCCACCTCCGGACGTCCGTGTCTCAGGCAGCTGACCCGAGCTCTCGTCACCGGTGCATGCCGACGATGCGATCTTCCACCGTCGAGTTCCCCGAGACAATGCCAGCTCACGACCTCCTCGTCCTTCTCTTCGACTCTGTTCTCGTGCCTCGAGTTCCCGAACATGCACCTGTGCTACTTTGAACGCTGGTCATCTCTTAGTCTCGCGGCTGTCACTCATGACATGTGGATGATGCCCTTTTGAAAGTTTGTCTGCTGGCAAACGAATGCTGCGTAGTTGTGCTTACGGTCTTGTATGTTTCTCACACAAGTCGCATCAAATGATGTTACCAATGCCACCGTAATTATGCTTGTGTGCTCATTTCTGTTAAAGTGTCCCTGCGCTCAGAAAATGACAAGGCGGTACCGATAAGACCATGCTGGCCGAACTAAAATGTCAGAAACGCTAGAGCTTCACTACCTTAGTTGCATGTCAGAGACTAAGGTTACTTGGCATATAAAATAAGATATTCACACAGGAGTTTTAAACATATCCTTAATGCACTTTGGTTCAAAGCCATGCATGATAGAATATGTGTATACCAAGCCGAACGAGCCTCCACATGATGAGAGAAATTTCACATGGACTAATCCCTCGTACAGTAGCAGAATTCTGTCATGTGACAGCCTCTGAAGGCTCTTATATAGCCACCACCAGTGAGGCGCACATGTTTTTTCGCTAGTGCACTTCTGCTTTATGGCAAACAAAGTTCAAAAAGATCTACAAACGCATCTTAATTAACAAACTATAATACTATATATACTAGTAAATACACCTTCTTTAATGCACCAAGCAAGACCTTGTTGATTAAGTCTTTGAAGGTTATTAATACACGGCATCCCACAGGAGCTAGTTCACTTTCAGTATCTCGGCATTCTTACGCGGTATCCGCAAAACACTTGCAAGGAATTTCATGCCAATTGTTCATACAGTGGCTGACGACAATGAGAAGTTATGCCTAAAGTGGGCATGTGCCATAGTTAATAGCTGAACAAAAACAAGATTTTGTAATGGGTTGGAGCATTGGACGACGACTGGTTGTTTTTCCGCTGTTCTAAAACGCTTTATAAGTCGTATTAACGCAATTTCTTTCCGGACATGAAGCCTGCCTAAAGTAAGTTTGTCAGTAAGTCCCAAGCACCGGCGTTGTTCAGGGGTAGAATACTGGGCTGGCACCCAGCAGACCGGGGTTCAAATCCCACTGTGTCATTGGCGCTAGGTTTTTTTTTCTCATTTCGTGCGATGTGGTTATGGACATCGGAGGCGGACAACTCCTGTGGCGCGTGACCCGAGTTGTAATCTCATAACAGCTTTCGCTATAAAATCTGGAGATGTGCCACCCCTTGCCGCGACACCACGGGCCGCCCCCACATGGGGACAGTTAGACCTAGCCTACAACGCCACAGCGCAGGCTCTCTGGATAGGCCAAGGTTGAATGAACATGGTTGAAGCAGAGATAAAACGATCTGGCACTCTGAGGGTGCTTGCGATACCCCCCCCCCACCCCGAGGCCTGTTGTCGAAGCAGAGAGGAAGAGCTTCGCCGCCCGCTTTAGAAGGGCATTAAAAACAAGAGAGGGGGGGGGCAGTATGTGTCACCCGAGCGACGACTATGAACTGTTTCTGAGTGCATGGTCGTGATCGCTGGCACGCAGGCTATCTTCGCAGCCATCAGCGGGCGGCTCGCCTACGCTTCTATGTCCTGCACTGTCATCGCGAAGAGGATGTGCGAAAAGTGTTGCTCTCCTTGAAGTGGCCATATTCTCGTACACCAGCATTTTGTACAGTTACGTGAGAATGGATCAAAAAGAGTTCACTGCCAGCCTTATTTCGTATAACATTAACATTTGCTGCTATCGCATTCATTGCTTCCCCCTTGCAGCGCAACAGTGGCTTAGTTATGTACAGCTGCCCATGTATTTTTTATGCCAGAAGAAGCGAACGTCAACTGCCGAGTCGATAAGCATGAAGCGAAGCGGCCAAATGAACGAGAATATGCGCATGCTCATTGAGCAATCATGTGCACCCATACATGAAGGAAAGCTTTCCTTACTCCATGTGCACCAGACTACGCTAAGCTGTTCCGGAAACCAGACACCCCTCTTCTTTTGAGCACTGTTACTGCTATCTTTTCTTTATTTTCCAAATGCGGCAGTGTTTGGAAAAGCTATAAAAAAAACATTTCCCGGTATGGCGAAGCAATCAAAGTGACAGCAACACATTGTAAGGCTGGCAGCCAACTCTTTTAGATCAGATGTCGTGTAACTCTACGAAACGCTGATGTAAGAGAATACAGCCGGGCCAAAGAGAGATGCTCTTTTCGCAGCCTCTTCGAGTTGAGAGCGCAGCGCGTAGAAATGTAACGAGCCATTCCCGCTGATGCCTGCCATGATCGCATGCGTATAGCGATCACAACCACGCACTCAGGATAAGTTCACGGCCGATCCTAGAGCGAACACAGGCTTTACAAAACTGATACTATAACAGTTTTGATGAAACCAAAAGAAGTTTCAGGCACGTTTTCGGGCACGGACGGCGCTTGATGGCTTTCGCACTTTGCGGCTAAATTCTGGGGCTGATAGGAGAGTTTGGGGCACTAAGGGTGGTTCGGCGCTAGTAAGCCCGTTTGGCTCACAATGGCACAGCTGTTCTACCCCTGGGAAATATTTTCACAGTCCTTTCAGGGTTCATAAACCCTTTGAGACGCTATATGTACACAGTTGTGTACGCCACTTGTTTTCGCTGTTTGCATCAAGTAGAGGCTAAGAAAGAGCAAAACATATAGTATTTTGGATGAATTTAACCTCCTGCATAATATAACTTTTCGGAAGGCACTAGTACCACATCCCACGAGTCGTGCGATGTACCGCTTCCTTCAAGCAATGCAAAAAGCTGGATTTTTTTTCGCTCAGTACGAACATAACCAGAAATGAATTCACACTATATTCCTACCCTGCCAATTTATTCTCTTCATGCCAAAAGCATCAATGACTTCAGGGTAAAGAGATATTTAATTATAGCTTCATTAGGATGAGTTACTATAACACACAAATTTAACAATTACATCATTATTATTGTTGCAATAAAATATTGAGTGCCTCTAAGTAACATAGTAATTTTACATATTTACAGACAGTTCTTCATAGGTGGCATCAGAAAGAGTTAACGAGTCTAATGTATAGTACTTTCAAATGTTTGTGTAGGAGGAAATGCAATTCTGTGTTATTCTCAGTGCTTCTTTCTTAGTAACATTTTTGTATGTTCGACCACATCATGTTGTAAAGTGAAAATAATGAGTATACATATGATGTACAGCGCTATGCTTAGCCACGCTTAAAATTATTATAAGAGTTTGTGTCTTCCATATGCTTTAACCAACAATACAACCCTCTTGCATCAGTGACTTGGCTAATTAGAATAATGCAAAAAAAAAAGCAAACACCTCGGCCACACGTACACTTGCCATGCAATTATGCTCTAACCAGATTTTGCATCATTGGTATCAATATTTGCCTGAACAATGCTCTTTCACTGGACACACATCTAGACAATTGCTATATTTGAAAACTACGTTTTATGCCCACAAATAAATTGAAATTGCTACCCACTGAAGAGCAGCACAAAGCTACTTTCAAGTGCATCAAAAATCATGAACAAGGAATGTCACCAAAGCTAGCATTTTAACAAGTGGACTTGTTTTTCTTAAGGCCGTAATGAAGAGAACTCCGCTTGTCGAAACGTTTTGTCTCATTTTTCTAAACGTTATGCTTGAAATGATTTTTCCTCACTTCAAGTTTCCCCTTAACTTGAGTCTTCTGTGCATTCACGAAACTATTTACAGGTTGCAGATTTCTAATTGCAGAAACTGTACAAGTAGCTCCAACCGGTGCTTCGACTGCAGAACATGAAACTATTAATTCAAGCTAGTCGCAAGGCTGTGCCATAATTTGAAAGATCTCCTGAAACATACAGGTTTCTTCAGTGACACTAAGGCATTTCGCCCTATTCTACTTGCTTTCAAGAACACTCACATAGGATGGCCCTTCGTGGTGAGTCCTCTGCGTATTGTCTCGAGGTGGTTGCTACAGGCTGGTGACAAGTCAAGACCGGAGATAATTTTCTGATAAATAGCAGAGGTGCTTTGTAGCGACATGCAGTTGACAGACACATACTGGAATTTGAAGAGATTCTGAAAATGTACAAAAACAAGTATTGTACTGAATACACTGAGCGCCTAATAATTTCTCACACCATATGAAGCCAAGCAAAGCACAGGAAAAGTGACTTGCAGCTTTTAATCGAGGTATAAAAATTAAAACAAAAACCTACTTTTGACCAGCTAGCCACCATGTTAGATGTGCAGTGCTTTGAGGGGGTGAACACAAGATTTTTCCGAAGAGAGAAGAGGGAATGAGATTACGAGAAGTTGGATATCTAATATATAGTGTAATAGCGTGGCAATAACTTGTCTGCGTCCTTTCTTGTCCTTTATTCTGTTTCTACACTATTACGCTATAACTCATACAGTACCAACTAGCTCATCCTGTCACCCCTCTGATACCTAAACATTTTTATGGGGCATCTACCTAAACACCCCAAAATTAACAGGCGGTAGCGGAGAGTTAAGGACATATTACCCCTCCCCCTCTCAAAACGACCATTTGACACTTTGCAAAATAGTGATAGTCCCCTGACACACATTTTGCAATATATGCAGGTTGGCTTTGCTGTAACAATATTTTCTATGGGCCACCTTTTGTTAGCAGACTGATTTTTTTGCTCCGAATGTGTTCACTCCTCCACATGCAAGAGAGGGTGTACTGGCATCACAGAGGTTTTTCAAAAATTACTGTTAGAATGTTACACTGCATACTCTATGGTGTATAAAGAGAAAGGCAGAAACCAAAGAAAGGGACGAGGGCTTGACTGAAAAAATTTGTTTGCCTGCAAGTCTGTGGTTGAGGCTGATTGGGAGGAAAATGAACTTCAGTATGCACTGGCACTCTGCCTGGTAAAATTATGTCAAACACTGATGCGTTACGTTGATAGTTTCAGAAATGCACATTGCTCAGTGCAATAAAATTAAAAAAAACTACTATTAAATGTTGATACAATTGGGTAGACAACTTACTTTGGATGAGTCGAGTATTTGCGACAGACAAGCAGTTTTACCAGTGCCGGGTGCACCAGAAACATAGAGGCTGCCGGAGGTGCCAGCACGTAAATGAGTGTGCAGAAAGTCCTTCATCGACTCCATCTCCCTCTGACGACCGACAAGTCGGACGCTTAACTGCGACGTTAAATTCTGCTTTGCCTTTTGGTACAACGAAGCTACAATAAAAAAGGAAGACGAGGTCAAAATGGCGCATTTCATGAATGATTACTGAACACAACACAGTGCAAGACAAAGTTTCAAATTTTTTTTGTGAGACACACTCACTATCGGGCACGGACAGAGAGAGGGAAACTATATTTCCTTGTCTAGGTGTCTCCCTGGCTTTCTTCGGTGATTGTGATATCGGGGAATGTTGCGACCCTGAAGAAAGAAAAACAATTTCAGCGTAGCAAGCCACACAAAGCAGTGAATTTCGGGTCCTACAACAACATCATATTGGTCGGTCAAAAATGAAAACACGGAAACCTACCGGCATCATCGGACGAGGGAGTAGATGCATCGTCGGCGGGGAATAACCTCTTGCTAACTTTGTGGTTATGACGCGTATTGTTCTCGTCGAAAAGGCCCCCTTTAGAGATGCAAGGCGACTTACTGCTTTGTTTAGCTATGGCAGCGCAGCGTGCTGACTTGCGCACGGGAAGCTGAAGAACGGACTGAGTGGGAGGCATGCCGACAGACCTCGATCGGCAACGTGAACCGAGATAACGACGGGAGATCCCTTTCAAGCGTGTCGCGCTTGTTACAAACACGATTTCCCTAGCAAGATGCGATAAAGCCTGTCCTTCCCAACGAACGTAAATAGAGGCACTTTCTAGGAGTTAAGGCACCACACGAAAAAACCTAGCACCACAGCGCTGTTCACTTTGCACATTTGGCGCGCGAACTGCTTTGGCGCCTTCGCTGACACACACAGCGTCAGTTTCCCGCCAATCTATTCTGGCTTCCGATTGGCTAGACCACTGCAAAACTTTTTTAATGATAAGAAATCAACTTTACCGTTTATACCCTTTAATACGTATAAAATAAATTTTTACGTGTAATTATTTTCATAAATGCGCTCAGTATTGGTTTATATGTGTCAGTTGTCACCAATAGGTGACGTTACTCGTTTCCGCATCAAAAAAGTAGATAGAGAAAAAAAAACGGTAGCAAAGTGTCCCCCTTGCCACGTATGGGTACACGTTAGGTTTGTGATCAACTTACTTCTTTAATGTGTTGATTGAAAGCTTGTTGGGGGTTGACGGTTTGATAAGATGGGCGGCTCACAAAGTAGTGCCATTCCTGGAGGCGGCACAGAGGGATATCATGTTTTACGGGTAAGAAACCTGCACGTAATAAACATGCCGGTACTGTCAGCATACTTCATCTTTGCGCGCCTTGTAAATATAAATATAACAGTATGGCATGAAATGGCGCATTATGAAGGAGATCAAGAGATAACATGAACCTACGTTCTGTGCTGTGATGTATATCAGGTCACAGTGTGTGCTGCTGGGCTACCTCATGAAAACGGACCACTAAACTGGTCTGGTGCCATCGGCAGTGCGACCACACCAGTACTTGTAGTTATGAAAATTGCCGTATCTATTGCCTGCCAAATCGAAAGTTTTTTGCCACTTGTTCGTCGTGTTCATTTCCTATGTACCGGGTTTAGTAGCGAGTCGCACCTCTACGGGAGCGAAAGCCGTTGCCGAGAAACGTGCGCGTTGAAAAGTGGTACGCATACTTTACCAAATGTGAACTTGGCGGCTTCTCAAAGAAAATGCCGATTTACGTGCACGCCGGTGTACAACCCTGCGGTGTGTTGCAGATGCGTTATGTCGCTCGTGCAATTACCCAAGAGTTGGAATAAGAATAATTGCTGGGACTTTACGTGCCAAACCAAGATATGATTATGAGGCATACCGTAATGGGGAATTCTAGATTAGTCTGGACTACCTGGGGTTCTCTAACGTTCACCTAAATCTACGCACATAAGTTCTCATTGCATTTCGCTCTCGTTGATATACAGCCGCTGTGGCCGGGAATCGAACCCGCGTCCTCGAACTGAGCAGTGCGACACCTCACGGGCAAAGGGCAAAACTACCATATATATATATGTATATAAATATATATATATATATAAGGCGTGTGTTAGTGTGCATATTTTACGAGGGCATGAAATGTACTTTTGCCCATAATGTTTTGATACATTGCGCTACGTGGATGTGCAGTTTACTAGACCTGTGATGCGAATTGCATCAAGCATGTAAGCAAGATTGCGGAAGTAAAACGGGGCAAATCAAGACGTTTGGAGTTATGCTGGAGCACTTTTCTGGGTTGTAGCTCAAGTGAAGCTGTTGAACTGAATTCATTGCTACATCTGTTTTCAGCATTTTTAAAATTTCAAGCTGCATAAAGCAAAAGTTGTTATTAAGACAAAATGCAATGCACCATCACTTATCTGTCTGCATGTAGGTTCAAGAGAATTCTCCTGGACATAAGGCAGGGTTGGAGGCCTTTTTTGATTTTATTGTTGCCATTGGGAATACACGCTTGGTATGTACTTTTCAATGTTGTTTCATTGTTGTCGCTTTGCCAGCTGCAAATGTAGTAAAACCTTGGGTTACGTAGCATCTGAACTTTCTGGTGTACTCGAGTCGCTGCATCTTTATGTTAAGAGATCTCACAGGCCCTAGTTGAGCGTTGTGTGACGGGAGGGTTGATTACACTCATGAATGGAACATACTTAATAAAATGACAGCCATGGGCGTCAGCAGGATTTTGTCTTGGGTGGCTGCAAACCTGTGTTGTATAGTTGTGGGAAAGGAGGGTGCAGTGGAGGTGCTCGGGTGAGGGGGGTGGTGGCAAGTGTTGGTGGTTTGGATGTGCAAGTGCCCATTTTGCACCCCACTCTCAGCACGTATGATGACAGCTTCAGAAGTAGTGGTAAATAAATGTGGGAAGGACATGCAGGAATAGGCATCATTACACATTTAAAATATAAATTGTACTGTTGTTCCATCACAGTGACAAATGCGGAGTAAGTTGTTTAATTTTCTTTCATCTGCTATACCAGGTTTCACATTCAGGTGGCAGGGAATACATGCGAGTTGAACAAGTATGGCCTCATGAGAAGAAAAAAAATGTAGTAGAGGGCTTCAGGACTAACGGCAGAGTAAATACGAGATGTGGCTGCGAAGTAAAGTGTAAAGTGACTGATCCTACTGATCATTTATTTCTGTTAGAAGGAAAAGAATCAAAGTTCGTGAACTATGGTCAAAGACAATAATTAACATCCTCTATGCTTTTCCTTGCCTAATTTCCAGAAAAATGCCGCATTTTTCATTCATGCATAACAAGGGCCTAGTCAAGCCAGGCTTTTTATGCCTTAGTTATGACGGAAAATTTTAGACACCTAAGCACAACCAGAAGAAAGAATAAGCACTGGAAAATAGTACCACTCTCAGCTGACTTTATTCACAGAAGAACAACAGATCATATATACGCTGTACCACACATGCACGAACAGGACTAGCACACCTAATTACTGCACATCAGACACAAAGCCATCGGAAAGTCATTTCTAATTCAGTGAAGAAGTGCGAAATCTGATGTGCGCAATGCGGTAGACATGCTCCTTATACAAAGTTGCACTTTTTTTTATGCAAAAAGATTTTGTTATTTTTTGGGTTGGAGCATGTGAGCTTTTTGCAATAGCAGAAACTCTGAAAAACCTCTCCTCGCACTAGATATTATTACGGTGTGCAGGCAAATGTGCTGATCAGTTGTTTCAAAGGGAAAGTTCACGCTTCCTGACTCTGGCATTCATACACCGACCAGTCTGGCAAATATAAACCCATCCACAACTGAGTGGGATTTCATACACCCCACCAATAAAGCTATTCACATACGACGAAGCATGTTTATTTTCATCCGGGGAGGGGCCTGGGTGGTTGAGAAATGCAAGGAAACGGGCTAGCCAACATGCGTGGCACTGTTGGACCTGCTGGCCACAGTCTCAAAGTTGGAGCTACACGATAAACATACGATACAATCATAGGTCTTTCGAACATGGGCTGCCTGGCTTTTCTTGTGCCCTTCAACTTTTGAAGGAAGATTTTGGAAACTGATATGATGACAGAGTTAGGATGGCCTACTGAATGCACCTGTTAACCTGATTCATGTAACTATCCTGCATGCTGTGAGGGCAAGATTTCACCAGCGCTGCCTAAAGACACATGGTTGCAGTACCCCCTTTTAACAAGCTTAGAATGGGCCGTATCAAAGGGCAAAGCTTGTCGGTTGAACGTTGGTGGTAAGTGCAGCACACGTGTCGCTCCAAGGCTGTCACGTCCAAATTTAAAAACTCAAATTTATTGTCAGTGAGAAGCTCATATGTGAATTAAAGGCCATTAGCATGTTGTCTGAAAAGTGCTACAATTTTATCCGTTGAGTTAGTGGTGGCAAAAAAAAGGGTTAGTGTTTGAAATTATTAAAAAATCTTCCACATACCTAAAAACATTCAGCCCCTTGCATCATCAAGTGCTTGAGCTAATTCTCTGTCAAAGGCTGCTAAAAACATGTTGCACAACTCTGGAGCGGCACGTAAGCCATTGCAGATCCCTTTTTGCTCAACGTAAAGGCCATGTTGAGCAATAAAATTTGAGCCGAGATGAAATTCTAACATCATCATGAGTATACAAAGAGATATGCCTGTATTCCTCTCAAAGGCTAATACCCATTTCACTATGATACATTTTGTAACATTTAAAAACTATGAGTGCAGTGCACAATAGAACAGGTCTTCTACATAAACTGAGAAAGCATTTGCATCTCAATGGCAGCTCTGCAAGACCTGCGTAACATTACAAGTTCTTAACTGCAAATTTGTAAAATGAGACCGTGCTATTTGTACATGTTTCGTGCAGTGTAAACATTTTCTGCTGTTTCCTGCAAGGTTAATCACTTGGGAGTCATGCTCTTTTCCTGTGCTTTGTCTTTCTTCAGGTGGTGCTTGGGTGTCTTGAATTTTCCCTCAAAGTTATGTACCGACTAGTCCAGCAACAAGTTCTTCCCCAAGTTTCATGCCTTAGGTTAACATATGAGGGTTCAGGCATGTAGCCAGCAGATGGGAGGTGCCCTAGTGCTCCCCACCCCCCTCGAATTCTGATTGTGATGTGGGGGTGTTCTGTCGAAAAATAAGTAATATGTCTGTTTTTAAAATAGTCAAGGTCTTCAACAAGTGCCCCCTTCTCACGAAAACAATTCCTGGCTACTGGCCTGCAAGGGTTTATTGGCCAAAAAGTGTCCCATACTTAAGTGGCTAAAAGCAACATAGAATAACATTCTCTGGGATTGTGTGTACAGAAATACCCAACAGAGGAGATAGGGAAGCACCATATGTTAAAGCTCAATTGGTAGAGCATTGCACACGAAATTTAAAGGTTGTAGGCTTAGATCTCGCAGATGAAAAAGGTGATTTTTGTCCCGTTCATCTTAATTTGTCTTCACTAACAAACTACAGTTGAAAACAACCATGAGCATCCGCTATGCTTCTCCTGGCCTAATTGTCTGTTCAATTCATTTTGTTGTCTTGCATAGTTTGTGAAATACTTGATCTGTAGCTTTGCAAAAATGATTGAGTAATAGACTTTTAGAGTTATTTTATTGCTAATGAACACAAGTGATATATATCCTTTTCTCTTTTTTCAGAATCAAGACAATGATCTTCTCAAGGATGTTTTAAAAGCGAACATAGAAAAACCGATTGTCATGACAGTATACAGCAGCAAAACCCAGATGGTGCGGGATGTGGAAATTGTGCCTTCGTCCATGTGGGGAGGCCATGGTCTTTTAGGAGTCAGCATTCGCTTCTGTTCTTTTGAAGGAGCCAATGAAAATGTCTGGCATGTGCTGGT